ATTCCACAAAAAGGTACAAAACCTACCGCAACGTCCGTTTTGGCGCCAGAAAAACAGTTCTTTTTCTCTAGGATATCATAACGTAGTGTGTTATAATCGAATTCCCAGTTCCAGTCAGTTCCAAGAAGCTGACAGAAGCTGGCTTAAGGCTGTGCAAGCTCATTCTAGCTCTCAAGTAAATCTGGGCTCAAATTTTAAGAGTCTGAACGTCTCGCGCTCGCCCTCAAAGCGCTTTGAAGTCTCGGTCTCGCAATCTAAAAAGTCAAAATGTCTCGGGCTCGCAAAGAAAAACGCATGTCTCGCCGTCTCGCAAAGTCTCGCATTTACCATTCGCCACCCCTATCCTTCTCCGCAGTTCAAATAAATTATCTTTCATATATTTACTTGTATTCTTCACCATCTACGGATATATTACTAACTCGCATGTGACCAGCTCCTAATTGGCTTGATAGCTCGGTTGGTAGCGCACTGCACTGATATCGCAGAGGTTGTGGGTTCGAATCTCGTTCAAGCCTAAATTTCAGGCTTTAATTTCACAACTGCTTAAGTTGTGTGTATACAAGTTCAATGATCAATGTCTTCATAAGAGTATTTAGCGTTGTTACGCTGTAAAAATGCTAGTCTTGTACATTATAAGAACAACCTTAATTCTATAATGTGTGGACCGTCCGCCGTGGCAAAAAACAGTGCGCGCTGTAGAGAGGTCGCCGTTAGTGGAGGTTAGACTGTGGTAAATATCGCGTTCATGTAATAACACCTAACTCTCAGAACTAACTTTAAAAGAAACGTGTGCGATCAGTAAGGAGAATTGAGCTCTTGTCTTACCAACACAATCAGGTATTGTCTCAGTAGGTTGCCACACACCACTGTTACATTGCCAATACAAAGCTGTCGCTTTGTACATCTCACTTCCACTGGGACACTGGACTTGACAAAAGTTGACGCCACCGTAATTACTGCATGACTTGGTACCATCGAGGGGCCCATCTGGGTCGTGACATGGCGGACCTACAAAAGAGAAATACACTCTCAACATTTTTACAACTACATGTAAGGGTGTCACAGAACTAAACGGTAAACCCACCTGGTATAGCATCAGTGACATCAGTATATTGCCCGACTACATGGAAGTACGTACTGCTCAGAAATTTTCATTTGAATAATTAATATTTATAACTACCCCGTAAAGTATCATAAATAGCACCACATGAAAGCACCGCTCAGTAGCTTTCATTTGATTGGTTACACACTAGGGTTTCATCCACAGACTCAGTAAAAGTTAGAACCACTTTGTACAGCATAATAAACAGTACCACATGAAAGTACTGATCAATAGCCGTTCATTTGATTGGTCACACACTAGGGTTTCATGCACAGACTTAAAAGTTAGAACCACCTTGTACAGCATAATAAACATTAGTATCACCCAACTAGTAGTGGACTAATGCAAATCCTGCATTTTAATTGGCTACGCTACCAGAGGACTATTAGTAATAGTCCTCGAGAAGCGAAATTGGCGCAATCGAGCGTGNAAACAGTATCACACGAAGGTACTACTCAATTTTGTACTCAGTTATGGGTTCATAAAGCTTTATGGTTCATTCAAGCTAATTCCCCTGAAATACAATTGAACATAAATTTTTGTTCAAACTTTGTCTAATGAATATTTATCATATGAGAACTTAAATTATAAAATAAAAAAGGGGGTGCCCATGCTCGTTAAGGAGCAGTGAGGCATTGAAAATGTCTCATTTTTTTTTCAATTGCACGTGCACGGACGCGCGCTAATGGCGCTATAAATTATGCAGAGTAAGGATGCGCAGTGCAATACAGGGAAATGACCTTAAAAATGAACCATAGGCTCAATCAAGTGTAGGCTCAAAAAAGACCAAAAAAACTACAATTACTTACGCTTGAGTGTCACTTTGAACAGACAAGAAGCTCTATTTAATTTTGCGTCCATGACTTCGTATAGGACGTTAGTTTCAAGCAGTTGAAACGTGTCACCACTGTTGTGTGACTTATCCACTTTCGTGACTTTAACATTGTCACTGAAGGTTGGCTCGACCCAGGTCACCGCCTTGGGGTGGTCGCTGGTTTCAAAAATGTCTTTAGGACAGTTGTGAATTGTAGGAGGCGTCACGTCTGAAGAAAAGAGAAAGAATTAATAAGTTGTGTGACCCAAAAGTTAAGCTTTTTGAGCTGTTTTGGTATAAATGTGGGCAAGAAACAGTGCCACTTTGATCTGAGCATGGGTATGGTCTTACCTGCTTGACTCATGACTATGTGTTATGTGCTAATGTACGTGTGTCTAACGAAACCAAAAACACGTAGTTACTTATTTGTCTCTGTTCATGACCATTTCATCTTAAAATGAAGAAGACGGACGAACTAACTAGAAAAGTATTATTCTGTGCCTAAATTTACTACCTCAGATACTCAATGGCCAGGCCTGATAATAGACCATAGTAGGCGAAGAAAATAACGTATGCTCCGTAATAGGTTAGGATTTGAAGCACTGCGGGATGGTACATCCCGAACACCCCCTCCTCCCCATCCCCCCCCCCCCAAACCTTTTAGTAGCTCTTTCTCCGTGCATCTTTTAAGTCCTTTAAAGACATACTGCTTCCACTTCATTTGCTGCAGACCAAAATGGTCAGTTAATTGCTCCCGGGAGAAAACCTGTTCGCTTCTCAGAACAGATAATGTCCAGGGACAAATGTCTGAGCATATTTTTAAAGTCATATGGAGTCTGTTGTGTTTATTATCCTTTCAATATTTTTCGCAAAACGCGAGATCTTTTGAAAATTGGAAAACATCACTCGGATATTTCGCATTTGTGTCTGGGGTATTTTCGGTCAGGGTTGGCGGAGGGGGGAGGGGGGGGAAATAAATTTTAAAGACCGAACCAACGCTCCGACCCCTAAATGGCTTAAGACATGAAATAACGTATTTATTTACCTTCTATCGTAACATAAATCGCACAGCTTGCCGATCCTGCGGGGCTAGTCGCAGTCCACTCCACCTTCGTTTCACCCGCCGGAAACTGGTAACTAGAAGAGATTTCAGGCGGATTGATAGTGATCTGCTTCACGTTTGAAGTGGGTTCCTTCCACACGCTGCTGACGTCAGCAGTGCTCTTGCTGGGCTGTAAATCTTGCTTTATGTTATCAGGACACACAATCCATGGCTTCACATCAACTGAATAAAAAAGATAAATGGTGTTAAACCAATGATGGGTAGGGTGACCGGGGCAATTGGCTCCAAAAAATATTCACTCCAGATGGTTTGATGAACAGCTTGTATTATACAGCCCTCAGTTAAGTCAAAAGACAAACGATTTGATTCCAGTTTCCTTTAGCACAGGCTGCAGGTTATTGTTGATGAGGGCCCCTGTTAACTGCAGTTCATAAAACAGACAATACGCTATTCGGGACTTTGTAGAAGGTGACCACGTCAACTTAATACAGAGGCCAAGACAGCTGAATACAGGTAAAAATTGTTGACACCTGGCTGCTAATACACAAATTATGCCTAGACGAAGATGAAGAAGTGAAACGAATTGGCGAAGAGATAACAAATAACATTTAGTTTAAGCGATTTTCTTGAAGACAAGGGAGCAGAATTTGAAAATCTCCGTCCAACTTTTCATCTTTAAGATGGTAACCTCCTGCTTGGGTGGTTTTAGACAACACTCCTCTAACAGCTTCAATGCACTGATACATTATTCTTGGTTTTCACTCAGGTGATCAACAGCCGTGTTTTTTCACCGAAACAAAGAAAAGATTTACATAAAAATAGAGTTCAGTCCCCGGAGGTTAAATTTTGGGCTCCAACATGGCCGTCGTTTCTTTGTTTAGGAGCTCCAACATGGCCGCCTTGACGTCAGGTGAACCAAGAATATTTTAACCAAACAAGACCATTTTTTATAGGTGTCCATTGATGTGTAGATATGTCTTTTGGCATTTGACTTTTCGAAGCTCCGGTCATCGACGATTGAGCCTCTTTAATAACTGTACGATTCAATAATATATATTCATGGAAGAGTGTTCCGTCTCCAGAAATCACAAATGCTGTGTTTGTATTGGATGTCGTTGTCGGATGAAAGCGTCAAGCCTACGCGACAAGACCGAATGGTAGTCTGGTAATCCGTCGGAATTTTGTTCATCGGCGTAGAGGAAGTCTACACATTTTTATTTTTGCACGTGAAGCATTAGTAAGGATACATTAGATTTTCCACTCATGAGAACGTTTTTCTGTAGCGTTTCTTTCTCTGTTAAATGACTTTTAGTTGAAAATTCGTCTGAAATTCGGTGTGGCGAAAAGAATCTTGTTTCTGACGAAAACGAAAATCTAGGAAATGATGTTTGCCATGTTCAGTTGTTATATCTGATTAGTATTGAGCGCGTGCGGCAGTTCTCTACTTCTACCCATCCTAACTTTCAGTCTTGTAGCTTGAGGCTTTGCTCTGACAACGTTAAACCCTCCGTAGGTGACTGTAAATTTACCCATAATTTTTAGCGCACGAAAACGACGCTCATAAAAACTGCAGGAAAGTTCTAACATCTTCAAACCTAGCATGCACAATATCGTTAGCGCATGGACAAATATGACGAGAAATATCACTTTCCTTGTACTTTATGGGCTTTGTAAGACTTGCATGGTATTTTGGTAAAATATGCAGCCGCCATTTTGTTCCTAAGGTTGATTGAAATAGCTGTGTTACTCGAAGATAATGCCGGCGCAGTCCATTTCTACAAAACAAGATAAACTGTTTGTTACTCTTTCTGCAAGAAGGTGGAGCTCCATCCCAATTTCCGTCCGCTAAGCACTGTCTCCTCGACTGACCCTCCAGCGAGTACCCGCTGTCACAGCTGTACATACACGTCTCTGTGTACTTTCCTCCAGTTGATGAACACGTCGACGGGAAGATTCTTCCATTTAAAATGGCGGACAGGGCTGGACATGCTACAGCTGTTGACAGACAAGGATATTAAAAGAATTTAACGATTGACCACAACCTCAGTGTAACATATTGGCACGCGGTGTGCATGAACAAGCAGAATAAACCTATTCGACAACACACTACACTCAGGGCGCTTTCTTCTTTAAACGGAAAGAAAGTATATTCGCTTGTTAAATTTAATTTAAATAACGCCTTATGTTAAATGTTAGATGTGTGAATACATTTTTCATCCAGTGGGTTTTCGTTAACAAATGTTTTTTCAATCTCTATTTAATCTATATTTTGTTGTGAGAAAATGAAGAAACTTGAAACAAAGAACGGACTGGAGCTCTAGAGCCAAAGGCTGCCCAATCCTTACTTGATAAAAATACGCCTAAAATTGATAAATTATTCGACAGTTTAGATCAAACATTTTACATGTAAAAGGCATCTATGAAAGAGTGTAGCCATCTTCGTCGAATGTGCACAATGAGTACAATGAATAACCCTGAATATATTGAAAGATCGCGATACGATCAACTGTCCCTAGAGAATCTGAATCCAGTATATTAACTACTTAATTTCTCCGTCGGGTAGGTTTAAAAACTCAAACTTTTACGAAGAAGGATTCGAAGAAGGTAAAGGCTCATTAGCGCTTTTCACAGCCAGGCATTTTGCAATTTTTGAAAGTCAATATCTCCTACAACATTACAATCTAAATATTTCACCAATTACTACATCACTTGTAAAAAGTTTCGGAAGATTTTAATCTCGGAGAAAAAAAAAGTGTCCGGAAATAACACCGTTCGAAATTTTAAAGTGTCCGAAATATTTACAGTACAGTATAAAACTTGGAAGTAGCGCCAAAGCTCTTTGCTTCCTTCATGCCGGGCTTTATGGAGCGAACTCTAGTTGAGACACTCCTTGACATACGTAACGGCCTGATAGAATATGTTTGAATTTCTCGCCAGTGCATTCGTAAAACCTTGAGGCTGCAGTAAAACTATCATTTTTACAGATGTTATTTCAGTATAATTCATGTTTTTTAGGCGTAAATTTACTTAAGCTATATCTTAGCGGTGTCCTAAATTGTTGTCCGAAATCTGTCCGAAATTAGATAAAAAGTGTTCGAAAATTAAACGTCCGAAAT